TCTGGAATTCTGCTCAGAACTTCTCCTTCAAAAATAATGTGGGATTCCTCCTCAATATTTGTTTGAAATCAGCACGTTGACTACTTTTAAATTTTACTAAAATTTCCATGGTTTGTCCGCAAGATTCTATAGATTGTTCTTTTATGTGTTATAGCCTTTCAAATGCTTCCTAGTCTCAGAGCCTTGACAATTATGACTCCAGTATGATTTTTTTTTCAAATCTGTGGTCTTGAAAAATTTTCAAAATCGTTAATTTTCAATTTTTTTCCAAATATTAGATATTAGCGATATTTTTGAAGAAAAGTTCTAGTTTCAGACTCTACACAACTGTCAAAGCCCCAGAATCTTGGGAATCGTCGTAAATCACTTTTTTTATTCTTCAGTAATATTCTTCAAGTATTGATCTATTGGATGTGGGTATTAAATTTCATGTACCATGTTTAGTTTCACGTTGATTGAGTTCCAATGTCAGTAGAATGTACATATTATTTTTTATACTTTGTATATTAACCCGAGTACTGAAAGGTTAATATTTATGTTAGTATAGACAACGAAGGTAAGACACATACTAATTTCTTCTAATTCTCATTGATATCAAGTCCATTTTTTCTGAAACATTTTTTAATTAAATATTTTATTCTCCACAATTCTGTCTTATTAACCTATTCATCCAGATAGCATTTAGCCTAGTGATTTTAATATCTGTTCCTCAATAAATTCTAGGGCTTTTTAATCATAATATGTATCAAGATTAAAAAAAGTGTGAGTTTTCAAAGTATCTCGGAAGATCAATGATTTGTTTGGAATACATTAAGTGACTCATAGAGTTCAATTTTTACTTGCAGCTTTAAAAAACTTTCTGTAATTTTGCTTTTATTTTTTCCACAAATAACTACCAAAAATTTACAGTTGGCCGCCTTTTTAAAAATGCGTTCAATATCGTTTTTTGTTGAATATTAATAACCGGGAATTTGTTTAAGATTTGAACCGGTTAAACCGGGAATTTTAAAATGAAAATTCACTGGCCACCCAGTCATCTTAGTCCTTGTTACTTTGTATGCCTTGTTGATAGTGACAAGACTCGGCTTTGTCCACCGAGGATGATCTTGAAGCAAGGAAAAAATGAATAAGTTAGTCTTCATCTATGTGATTCCTAATCTTCTATTCGTTGTTCCATAGTTTGAAGTGATTAAGCCTAGGGTTCTGATGCATGTTCATTATCAGTGTCATTCCTTAATTTTGTTGCTAAGGAATCTAATTTTGAGGGTGTGTCAACACTCCGAAGGGTTTAAATAGTGGGACCTTTCAATTAGAGTCGGATACTTGCGATAAATGCAAGAATGACAACTGTAATATGACATGCACTAAACTAAGGACATGGGATATACTACAATAGATCAAATTACTGGTCGCAGTTTTGTTAGGTCTCGAACAGAGGAAGAAGAAAAAGTAAGAGGTTGTTCCCAAGACACGACCGTAGATTTGACGTAGGATTACGTGCTCGGTATCAATATTCGGCGACTGTGTTAGGGAAATCACTTTTTCCCATCACGGAGACGCCTCGTGTTCTGATGACAAAACTACGCCTTTTCGTGCACAAAACGCACGGAATTTTTGGTTTATTCAATAGATAATAAAAAATAAAATTTTCCAATCGTGAGATATTCAAGATCAATCATATAAATTCAAGATTTTTTTGATTTTTCTAGCATCCTGGAGAAAACCTTACCTTAATTCGAAGTGTTTCTGGTTAATTGACAAAGTAATGTGGTATTCGGTCATTGCGTGAATGTGTATGTACCACTTCAATACTGTTACGCATTTGACCACAAAGGTTTGGTTGCTGGGTACAGTATCAAAGAGCTTTGGGGGTGATGTGACTGCCAGCAAGGCGAGCGAACGTTCATTGAAAATTAAGAGTGACGCGCTTGGCATAGATGGCCCACAGTGGCTAACGACGAACAACTGAATCCAATCAGTAACGGTGTGACTTTTTCCTCCTTCTTCGGTGAATGGACGCCCATGTGGGGTGTAACTCGCTGCTTGCGCCTTTCGCTGTGTACTGGATAACAATATTCAACGCCACGCGCCGAAAACACTGCTGCTGGTACTGCTGCTGCTGATGACGACCGACAGATTGGATTTTGAAATCTGTGTTAGGGAAAGCGCCTTTTGCAGGCAGTCCGTGTTATTTTTTATCACCATTGCAACATTTGTACATTTGTGTAATTTTCAATAGTGACCTATTGAAAATCGATAAAGTGTTTGTTTTAACAGATTCGTAGAAAAATTTCTAATCGATTGGCTTGTTTATAATTAAAATCCACCTGATATTGACAGAGTTATAGGTGGCCAAAACCTGACCACTTTTTGTAACGCGGTTGTTTTTGGTTTTTGAAATTGCACCCACAATATGTTGCCGAAAGACGTAATCCTACTTCAAAAATATTATTTGTCGCTTTTATTGATTTCTTACGTGTAGGTCATTTGAAATTTTACCGCCTTTTTCAGCTGTTCAAAAACCTGGTAAAATTTTACTGACATCGGTGATCTGAATTCTCTGAGAGTGAACTTATCTTGTGTAACAAACGCTATGATATTTAGCTGAGTAAAGTTAAGAAACAATGCAACGGAAAACTTATTTTTCGCACCACACGCTCTAAAAATTCCCACAATCCTCTTATAGCTTTATCACACTCCAGGAACTTGTCATGGTGCTGAACGCCGTTGTACCGTATAATCGAAAATTTGGAGCCCAAAAATTCACATGATAGAAGGTACCACTTGCCACATGTGATCATCGAGCACTCACTTTCAGGAGCATTCATGCCGGTGTTAATGGGTGGGTTGAGCCAGGCAAACCTCAACCAAAGAAAAAAAAACTATGGCAAAAACAAGAGGTGCCACCGCATTTCAAATGGTAGTATATGCTGCCTAGTGTGGGCAGTGGGAGGTAATCCTGTTGGAAGAAGGCGGAGGAGAGAAGTGTTATAAATAATAACGGCTATAATTAAATACATGTTTCGATTCAATTTGGCTCACTGCTGCTGCTTCAGTCACCTACAACAAAAGCCTTAGCAGCAGTAGGAACAGCAGCAGCCGGTCAGCCGAATTTTTGGCCTGGAAGAGTGAGGGAATGTGTTTTTATGTGCGATCCAAAGTGGATATTCGCATCGGGTCCCACACGTGCTAGTGTAGTAGCTATGAATGGGTGTAGCTTCTGTTTTTCTGTCTGTGTTAAAGACTATCATTAAATTTAGCATAACCAGACGGGGCGGCAGGACGCCAAATAACCGCGTTTGTCTGGTCGGTTGGTTGGTCGGTTTGGGTGGTGCACTATACTGATGTGCGCGGCCAATTAATGAGCATTGATCTGGGGGAAGTTGAAGGTTGGATCCAGTCGGATGTGGCGATAGAAGCGTGGAACGCGCCGTATTGACACCGTATTGGATACACATGTGGCGTTGGGCGTCGTCGTCGTCGTAGTCGTAGTTGGGTTGTGAACCGTTTTTATGGAGTACAAATTGGCTCGGACAACGTGGCCGTGTCACCGGGATAGTGGATTATGGTAGCTGGGAGTTTTTGTTTACTTTAAATATAGCTTGTCATCGTCGACGGTTCATTGGTTGCATTATTGGCGCAGCAGTGAAAATTATCTCCATTTGTGTCCCGCGGGTGGTCATGAAGTGTTTTTAGTACTATAATTAGTAAATGGATAAATTTTATCACCGACGCTGAAATTTATGTTATGCACTTTCCGACTCTCGTAAACAGTTCATTATTGTTGTGTAATTTATGTAGGTTGTCTGTTCTGTTGAGTGCTTCGTTCGATGATTTTGCGATGCAGGAAAAAAGAGGCTATTAACAAGTGTTATTAGTATATCAATAAGGACCCTACAATGTATACAGGCAATTGGAGTTTCATGTTTACTATCACTTCATTTTAAGATGGCTTCACGTCGACCAACAACTGTGATTGAAATGATTAGCTATACCATGTTACACAAGTTCAAGTTCAGTGAATAAGAATAAAATCGATTCGATTTTCGATCATCGATTCACCATCGTCGCTGTCTCTTCTCCTTCCTCAATGAAAAAAAAATGCCGTCTAGAAGACAAACCTCTTATAGATAAGCTCCCCCGTGCCGGTTGGCTTCTGGTCTTGAAAAGCACGACCGACGACGCGAACTGTTAAAAAGCTTGTCAAATCGAAATGTGCGACCGATGTGAGTTGCATAAATTAATGGTATCGTTTAGTTTCTTTGTTTTGCGGCAGTCTTCCTTTGGTGCTGATTTGCAACGTGAACGACGGCCACGCCATCGCGACGTGCAAATCAAAGAATGAAATGATTTGAGAAAATTAAGAAATTAATTTTAATTAGAGCTTTCGCCGCGGGTGGGTGTGGTCGTTTCTGGTTTCCCCCGAGGAGGAATTTTAATTATGATGCTTGAGATTCACGTCACGTTCTCCACGCAGGACAAGAGATGTGACCAATTTTGTCGTATCGTGAGCAGTTTAGTGCGCGGATTTCGGAAAAATCAGATAGCCTGGGAAACTTTCCACCTCTACCTTCTGGGCATTTCAAAGGTTACCAGAAATGAACCACGGCGAAAGAACTTGTATTCACTGTTCGTTGATAATAGGAGCCACCGTCATTATCCTACAAGAAGATGGTGGAAAAACGAGATCAGCAACCGGTCGAATTCACGTCCCAATTCACATAAAACAAACAAACCATAAATAACCACTATAATCATCATAATTGTGCCTAATTTCAACGGAACCAAGCTGGGAGAGGGAAACAAGACGAATATGAAGAGTTATCTAAACAGGCGCAACAAACTTGCTTGGTCCAGCATAGTGGAAGAGGCTATATAGCAGCTTGCAGCAGCAACAATTTCGATCCGTCTCTTTTCAACTCTTCTTGTTGTACCAACATAGTTGGCAAAGACGATGAAAAAACTCCTCCAATAAATTAACATAATTGCCCACGATTAAGCGAACAACAACAACAACAACAACAACAACCACAACAGCAGCAGCAGACACATCGCGAGGCTAATCATCGTGAATCATGATGATGCGCTTGCTTCTTGTTAGAGCCCAGGAGAGAGAAAAAAAAGTGATAGGAGACCTCAACAACATCAACGCCATGGCGTGCCAGGCGATCGTTTGGGGTCTAGAAAAAGAAAAGCTGCGGCGGCTGGATTTTGGGGCAAATCAGCATCATTCTTGAAATTGAAGACGGTAATGCAATCTAATGAAGTATTGTAGAAATGCATGAGGTCGATTTTTATTTATCATATTCATATCACTACAATTGAGACTAGCATAGTGGCCTAAATTAGGCCCAGAAGACCAAACTACGGTGACATCTAGCACCATAGTTGACTTTGAGTATAGATCCAGGCTACCGTCTTCGTTTATGTTTTCAATGGGAATTTGCATTGCAGATGTTAACAGCGTTAACGGCATTAACAATCATGGTCCAGATCGAGGACAGGAACCTTTCTAGATCAGCTTAGAGCAGCTTTTTACATTCACGCTGTCACGAGTCGTGTCCCCAACCCGGGACGTCCCGGAAGCAAGATTACCGGGAAATCTTCCAGTTTTTTGAGAAGTCATCCACTTTTATCTAGTTTACATATTTTGAAGAATTATTACCAGTACATAATGACAGTAATGCTTATAGTTTAAACTTGTATATTGGAATTGAAATCTGGAATTTTGCAGGTTTTGTATTATGACAGTCAACATAACTTTATGTAAGAGTTAACCTAACTGATGTTGAGATCATGTAACAAATCAGTAAGTTTTAGAGCAATGGAACCATCTCAAATCTTGCCGTCAATATTAATGATTTATCTCTGTTGTTTATTTACCAATATTATTTGAAATTATCGAGGTTTCTTATGCCTTCTTCATCTTCTCCTTTGAATTTATTTAATGAAATTGAAGTAAAATTTTAGCTCGTTCTTATACAGGGTGTCTACTCAATTTGGGGCCTCCCTTAGTTCAGTCGGTAATGGCTCAGCTACAAAGCAAGACCATGCTCGAGGTGGCTGGGTTCGATTCCCGGTCTGGTCTAGAAATTTTCCGGGTTGGAAATTTTCTCGACTACCATGGGCATTGAGTATAATTGTACTTGCCACACAATTATACTAATGCAAAAATTGTACAGACATCGAAAGCTTTCTATTAATAACTATGGAAGTGCATCTAGAACACTAAGTTGAGAGCACGCAATAAGCTAATATGCGATACGCAATAAGCTTGAAATTCGAAGAACAAGAAGTCTAGTCAGTTTGCTAAATAAAATTTCCTGATGATTCCAGGTTTTTCCAGAATTTTTCGGATGATTTCCATGCTCATAAGAAAGCTGCACATTAATCCAGTCTTTAAGGTTTTACTGGGTTTTTCAAATTCTGTAAAAATCTGTGGAAAAATAAAAAATGAGACAATTTAATCCTAACTTGTCTAAGTCTGTACAGAACCCATTTCCATTTAATTATAGAAAATAAAATTTGTCGATTTAATTGATTATTGACAGATAATGGCCAATAAAAGTTTTATAGACTTTTTCAGCAATTCAAAACCTCAGTAAAAAAGACTGACTCTTGCAAATATTCTAAGCGTGTGTTTTCTAATGGTGTTAAATATGTTATTTAATATGTTATTTTTGATAAAACAACAACCTTATTTCCACAAATGATTTCAAGACATTTCAATCAGTTTTAAGAGATCAGTCAGATCATATATTATGTCACGCTCTAAGGGGGGAGGAGGGTCTAAGATTTTGTGACAAGCAATGCATTAGGTATAGCAAAAACGTCACGATAGGGGGGAGAGGGTAATTTTTTGCTCGATTTAGCGTGACATAATTAATGCGTGATCAGTATACTCCTGAAACTTCCAGGGAATTAACATAGGAATTCCTTTTTAGTTCTGCTCAGAATTCCCATTATTTCTTAGAAATGCTCCTCATAATTCATTTGAAATCTTATTTTGAGTTTTCTAAAAATTATCACCAGAATATCCATTGAATATTGCTCAGAATTCCTTGGAAATTTTCTTCAAAATGTTTTTGAAACTATCCTCGGAATTCAGAGTTTAGTTCTCTTGGAATTTTCCTTGGAATTAAAATTTACCTTAAAACTCTTCTTGGTGGGCTAGAAGAATTATATTCAGTATTATTATTCTCAAAACTTCAAATGAAGCTTATTGCATGGTAATTCGTTATGTGCACCCTTTTGAAATTGTAATTTGGATGTTAAGGGAAGTTTACCGCCCCGAAAATAAAAATATATTTTCGACGCGTTTTTATTTTTGGGAAATAATATCAAAAATCCAAGAAAATCAGTTTCTTCCTTAGATTCTTGACAAAAATTACATGTAAAAATATGTTTGCTATCTCATCATGAAAAAAGATTGCAAACCCGGAAAGACTATGTTTTGGGGTTTTTTGGGTCCAACTTTATGCCATGATGACTTACAAAACATTTTTTTGCTCATGAATTTTCTTTAGAAAATTATAAAAAATGTGATTTTTTTTAGATTTTTGATATCTTTCTCCAATATTTTTAAAAAAATCGATAGGTAATTTTTTTTTGGTCTCCGTAAAGATAAGCTAGGCGCTTTTCTTCAATATAATTTTATAATGTAAGGGTGTTTTATTATGTTCACTAAAAACTCAAAATGTATACTGCTTAGATGATAAATTTATATTTTTTTTTTCAAAGGGTTCAAACGATACTCGCTTATCTCAGTCGGTAAAGGCACAGCTACGAAGCAATTCCTTGCTGGAGGCGACTGGGGTCGATTCCCGTCTGAATTATTATTTTTCGGCTTGGGAAAATTTCTAGACTTCCTTGGGCATATAATGCTACAGGTATAGAAAGCTCTAATTTAAAATGTTGAGAGCAAGCCAAAAGCTAAAATATTATTGAAATGCCTTGTAGTAGTAAATGGTATTTTTAAGCAATGAAACCAGTTTTTTTATTTGTCGCGCATTAGTATTTGAAAATATTGTAACAGCCCTGAAACTGAGTGGAAAAATTAAAAAAAAATCCAGGGGACCTCTGAATAAACTTCTCGTGGACATTGAAAGACATTTCCAAAAGAAGCCAGGAGAACTTTTGGGGAAGTAGGATGAAACTTCGCGAGAAAGTTAGAATGAAATTTTCTCGGAAAGTGGAAAGAATCTCCCAAGACTGTTTAGTGCAAAGCCAGAAAAGTTTTCGGTCGAAGAAAATTCCAAGCAAAGCTGGTAGACGCTTCCGGGGTAAGCTGTGAGGAATATTCGGGGGATGTTGAAAGAGACTTTCAGGAAAAGTTGAATGGAATTTCTGGGAGTCAGAAGCCACAAGCAAAGACAGTCACATGGACTTCTGGGGAAGCCGATATAAACTTTCAAAAGTTGTCAGAAGAGTCTTCCGTGGAAAGTCAGAAGGAACTTCCGTCTAAACATGGGAAATTTCCGCTTTCAGAGGAAGCCTCTGAGGAAGACTACTGTTGGAACGGAAAGTTTGAAGAAACTTTCGTTGAACGATGGAAGATTTTTTTCCGGAGAAATTTGGAAGAAACTTTCGTAAAAAGATGGAAGATTCATCCAGGACATGTTGGATAAACTATCTGAAAAATTATGGAAGAAACTTCCGTGCTAAGTCGAACGAAACTTTCGCGAGAAATCATAAAAGTCCGTCCGAAGAAGCCTGTCAAAATCTTCAAGGGAAAGTTGAAAAACTTCCAGAAGATTTCTGAAATATCCAAACCAGTCTGAATGAAGAATGGGGAATTATTAAAATATTAAATTGTATTGAACAATTTTGTATGCTACATAAGTCGACCAGCAGATGTTCTAATTTTAAAAACTGATCGGAAATTATATCTGGTCACTGAATAAAAATATTTACCGATTCTCGGAAATACCCGGGATGAGCCATCAGCTGTTCAATGATTCCCGGGTAGCCAGAAATGTCCAGGAAATGAAAACACTATTCCCAACTATCTTGTTCTATAAACTATCTAGGCTTGAGGTCCTTTGGACTTCCTGGCCATCCACGGTTACTAACAAATTGCTAAACGAGTGTAAATTTGTTCAAGCAAGTGACTCTGCTCAAACAGCAATAGAACGAAACAAGTGAAAACAGAAAGAATATGAAAAAACAAATCTATCCAGTGCAAAGCCGGTTTAAAACGCAAAACCAAAACGATACAGATTATAAATCAGTCAGAGAGCAGTTTATGGCTCTATGACGGAATCAGTTGAATTAATTGCATCAATTTTAGTTTATTCATCAAACGCATTTTAAAAATATTGTGATTTACCGCATATCTATTTATCCGCCTATTTAAGCACAAACATCAAATTCAAAACCAATATATCTACTGCAATCACCTTTTCTCCCTTTAGCACAGCCCATAACGAGATAGCCGTACGTTATCGTTATATTTTTATTTTTTATTTCGCCTTAATATATTTATGATGAATTTATATGGCCAATATTTCTTGCCTCCCAATAAGCAAGGAATCGTCGTCGCCTTCCACCTATGCATGCCACCCATCCATCCGACCACCAACCAATTGTGGCTCAATTTCCTTATGCGTTTTCCGGTTTGCAACTTTTTCTCCTCGCCTTCTCTCGGTGTTCGGTTTTCTGCTGAGTCCAGCGCAAGCATATGCAAACACATAAATAACCCCGAGCGAGCTGCAGGATTCTAACCAAAGAAGCAGCAATGGAAAGCAGGTCATATTTTTATTCCAGTTCAAATTTATGTCTTGACGGTGGGGACCTCTTGGTTCACCTTTTTCGAAGGGGATGTCTCCCGTCCGAAGCTGGGTGTTGAATATGCAGCTACTTGCAGAAGGCTCCTGACCGACCACCCGACCGTCTGTTGTGCTAATTGAGATTATACCAAAAGACTCGAACCGACTGAACAACGACAACGCCGACGATGTGTGGTCGTCTAGTATCTTTTCAAGTCGAAACTGTTGTGGAGCCTTCTCTCAGCTTGGTAATACATAAAATGTGAAGCACTGTCTTTTCCACCCACTAGGGACGCCCGAA